AATTAAATATGCAAAATCTATACAAAAAGTACTATAAATTGTAATTTTTTTCCTATGAATATGATGAAAAAACACATTGTAAAATATTAGTTAAAATTCTTATAGTTTGACTCTAAAAAGGAAATCTTAACAATTAAAAGTGCATAGAGAGAGTAATAAATAGGTAATTAAATTTTAAGAAGTTTAAAATAAAAGGTTGGAAAAAAGAATTAGATAGACAACATATATTGAAAATTGAAAACATATAAATAATAAATGGGCCCAAATGAGGTCAAACTTTTTGGCTAATAAAGTAGTAGGTAATTAATGGTGTTAAATTGTCCAATAATATAAATTTTAAAGGTACAACCATAAAAGAAGAATGTACAACACTATCAAGCACATATCATCCAACACTTGTCATGTGCTAGATATTCCCCTTTATTATATATAGTAATATATATATATACCTTTGAGATGTGAAGATATATTTTATTAGCCACCTTCAATTCTATTCTCGTCCATACCACCATTATAAAATTACACTAGATACATCATTTCAGCTTTATTCTTGTATCTGATCAGAGATACATTAGATATATATATATATATATGTGTGTGTGTGTGTGTGTGCCCCTTTAGAATCAATTCTTAATTATACAAGGATATACTACATATTTGATATTAGATAAGTGTATCTATGCGGAGATATACTAAATATTTGATATCAAATACACGGATAAAATTGATATCAGAAACGAAATTGATTTTGGATACATAGATACATAAAATTTGCAACACTTAAGTATATTCTGAAATACCGACACATAGGAAGAGAGGCGAACGAAATACACAGATAAATGGAATTGATTCTCGTTACACAAATACATACAATTTGTAAAACTCAAATATATTGGGGAGAGGCGAGCAAGAGAGGGAGAGATACAAGCGAGAGAGTTAGTGTATCTCATATACATACAAATCACGCTTAGATATTAGTATATCTAGTATAAATTACACCTAATTTGACCCGCATATACCTAGGGGTGGCAAGTTTCGAGCAGGCAACCTGAAGGGCGAAAAGTGATAAAATTATCAGATGAAGTGTTCTTGCGTGACATACTATAACTTAACTAATGTTGCATCTGTTAGTGGTAGTGCCCCAATCTGTTGTTTCATTGGTGTTTGAATTTGAGATCTCACGATACTAGACGCACTTCATTAATAACTAACTAAGCCCCAGTCTTGGGCTCAACAAAAAATGTTACTCCTCAATCCAGCTCATAATCTTGTGCGAGCTGTAATCAAGTAAAAAAGCTTTATGTATAGAGTCATTGATTAAACAGAAGAAACAATTAATGAATTAGTAGAGGCATCCCATCAACTTAATTAGAATACAATTATGAAATGAGAATATATCTTATGCTCTTTAACCAAAGTTTAGAAGAACCTTTTTTTTTTATGAATGTAAACATATCTTATACACTTTTTTCTTTCACTTTATATAGGTTGTTACTTTTCGAAATGTTGTTTCTTCTCTGGACATATTTAAGGAGAGATGTACGAAAGAATCGTCACTAGCCTGAGAACAGTAGTAGGAGATACGAAGGAGTTCCCATAACAATGGATTTACACCGAGGATCAGCTTCGAAATACTACTTGTTTACCCGAGTTATGGATGAGCTAACCAACAAAATACAAGACAAAGTCTCATTTACTAAGGATATTGTCTTAATTGACAAATTCAAGAAAGGTATCAATCAAGAGCTTGAACTCATGTCGAGCTGGATGCATGTACTTGAGCAACCTTTTCGACCAGTTTTTTGGATGCTGCGTGGAAATATGAAAGACGAACTGCTGAGATAGTGATAGAAAGAAACCACAGTACAGTTAGCAGCAGTACAATAGCTGTGTTGGTCGAAAGAATTGATTGCATTTTGTGAAGAAAAAAAGAATTCTGAGGTAGACAACTGTTGAACTGAACTGTAGTTCATATTAGTCCACGTAGTTCAAAATTGGAGTGAATTGAAGAAAGCATAAGAGGGCTGGGGACAAGGGGCCAGCTGGGAAGATAGCAAAAATGTTACTATCATGGCAACTTAATATCTATCCAAAGTACATTGTACCAAGCTGATTATTTATGTACCTGAACCTGTAAATGCCTCGTTTCTTGTATTCTTACCATTCAAATCTTTACTATCTAATAAATATACATCTTTGGTGAACAGTCCTTTTCTCCTTCCCAACTTTCTGTGGTTTCAACCCTAGCCACATTAGTGCATACACACTGTATGGTACCAATAACAATGTATGCAGTGTAATAGTGTGTACGCAGACTTTACCCCTACCTTGGAAGGGAGAGGTTTCCGATACACACTATATGGTACCATACAGTGGAGGTGGGGTATGAATTAGAGAATGGGGTTTTTGGTTCAATAGTAAGGGAATTAAGTGCATGTCATGAATTTGAATCATGCATCGGATTAGAATTTTGAATCGTGTACGAATTGGCTTTCAAGAGTTTCTGAATTATACTTGAGAAAACAAGCGGAAAAATAGAAGAAAAGGACAGAGGAAGTACAAGACAATTCCATTTTCACTCGACAATCCACGGAAGAGAACAATGTCAAAATGAAAATGTAAACTGGATAAATAGAATTGGTTACTGGCAATCCATGTTCCCAAAGACCCCTTCAACAGTGACATTTCTATTGTGTCCCTTTGTGGGGAGGACAAATTGGATAACCCAAAAATAGCTTGTCAAATGAGAAAATAAAGGCGGACACGGTAGTCAGATACTATAAATAGGAGATTCCAATTCTTTTGGAAATATCACTTAGAACTTTCACAATAGAAAAACAAAAACTTGCACTTTTCTCAACATATTTTAGCAAGAATGAGCAAGAAAAGCCAAAAAACAGAAGTGATATGTGGGGACTATTTTGCCAAGGTCAAGAAGATCATGAAGCTTTTTGAAAAGACGTTTCTCCACAACATCAGCAACTGGAAGAAATGGAAAGGTCAAGTTACAACTTCAACAAAGAAAGGGCACTTCTCGGTGCTCGCTCTGGGGGTGAATGCAGAGCCAAGGAAATTCTCATTGGCTTTAGATTATCTTTCTCATCCTACTTTTATCAAGTTACTAGAAGAAGCAGAAAGAGAATTTGGATATTACCAGCAAGGCGTGATAGTCATACCATGTGAAGCCAGTGAGATCCAAAGACTTCTTTTACGCTGAGATTGCCATACAATGCTGCAGTACATAGGAGTTAAGAACCGTGTGCAACTAAATGAAAATAAGTACAGAAGGGTTTGAGGTACCGAAAAGTAAAAAAATTGATAACTACAATGCACATTGCATGTATGTGAGTTTGTGTTGCATGATTGTTTCAAATAAACAAAATGCAAAAACCATGTAAGACTTGGATGAATCTAAATCATTATTTGCAACTTTAATCCTCGACCATATCAGCTGTAAACTGAAATGGGGCTGCCAGACCCTGAATTTTCCATTAGACGCGTTGAAAGCAAAATATTTGTAGGAAATTTAATATAGCTAACAGTAGATCATAGAAAAGGAACACACTTAGTTTTCTACCCTTCTGGCTTCACACCAAATGCATTTTGTTGGTGATTAAATTGTGGTTTGAGTAAAAACTTGGAGCTTCATGTTTTGTGGTAATAAACTGAATTTAGCCTATCTTAGGCTTTGTGTAGATTGTTGCCTCATTGAGTTTCACAAATCAGTTGAGTAGGCAACTAAAACCAATCACTATAATTCTATAGAAATAGTACAGTGACATTAACTGGTGTATTGATAAGGCACTGAATGAGATAGAGTGCAGAGGGTGTCAATAACGAAATCAACAAAAGTAGTCAGTCAGTCAAGAATGACACTGAATCGTGATTTATAAACAACATAAGAAAAGCCCTTCAAACGAAATATATCAGAAAGATTATTCTGTCCAAGGAAAACTAGGAAGTCCAATGAACCATTTATTCAGAAGCAGACAGTGGCAGATAAGGCTGGTAGATGTTTTGCACAAAAGATCATCTCTTAACCATAAAGTAGTAAATATTACCAGTGTACAACCACAATTTTAGGGCCTGAATAACAATAGCATGATTGAAAATGTCTTTCTGCAGCAGAAATCGGACGCAGTTCACAGTTGATCAAAAAATCTAAGTACTATAACATATAAAAGCATCCCGATTATTACAAATGATGCACCTAGTCTAGATATCCAGCAACAGTAACTGAGAGCACACAGAATGGGATAGAAATCAGTTGAATAAAACCATTAGAAATATATTCACGTTGCAGAATTCATTGCTGTTAATACTTCAAATACAAAAGAGGAAAGAGATTAAAACTTCACAAGGTTTGAGAGAACACCACAAACAATTAGCCTGGACAAGGCAACTTCAGCAATTTAATGATGACAAAGGTTGTAAGGTTTGCAAGAAATGCCATAAGTATATTTTCTTCCGCAAAATTAATTGACGATACTAGTGCCGCTGACAAAAGCATAATGAAGAATCAAATTATCACTATATTTATTAATATTCTTACTTCTTCCAGTTGGATAACTCCAAGTGGCTGTGGGATATTTCTACCAATTGGAGCTCTTGCCCATGGGGATGGTCTACACTGTTCATAGTTGTCCTCTTACTACAAGTCGCTTACCTAGGCAATGCTTAGACCCACTCAACCCGAACTTTTTTGGTTCAGTTCACCTGTACATTCCCCAATTGTCTGATTGTTGCTAAGCAGTTTTGGGATATCAAACGGACCTCCCTCGGAAGCATTTTAACATTCCCCCTTTTGCAATAAATTTCGTCAGCACATGTTGCTCTAGCTAATTGTCCTAAGAAATATTTGATTTGCAGAAATATTTACCACTTATTAAACAAACTATACCATCACCTTAGATCAACGAATGGAGGAGTTTTACTCATTGCCCACTATACTTCATTCCAGTTTCATGAATACAATAGAACCCAAAAACTCTTTCTGTGATCTAAGTGATCACTGATGATCATCAAGTAGCTATGATCTTGTCAAATTTAAAACACAAGTTAAGCACCTACTAGATTGGCATAATGACACTGGAAACAATCGCCTATATCTGTTTAATAGAAGCAGCAAGTGGTAGACTCGTGAATCCAAATTACAAGGTTATCAAAACTGTGAATGAACAGGCAGAAGGAGGGAAAACCATAGGCATTCATGAAGAGTAGATGACAGGGATCAGTATCATAAGAGAAGCATCATATTATGTTGTACTCACATCTCCTAAGGAAAAAATGACTCAGTTTCATGGGGAGACATGGATTCAGTTATAATCGCGAGGGTGGGGGGTAGGGGGATGGCAGTCTGGCAGAATTACAGTTATACTATTCCAAGCTGCACACTTCAGGATGTTTAAATGACAAGTTAAATCATTTGACATGAGAAAGCCAAACACTAAGCTATAAGTAAAATGGCACATCAACTTTTTTGAAGTATAGATATTATTAGTTGCAATTTTGGTACTCAAATTAGTGTTTCATCTATTCTTAGTCCACAAATTATTCTTGTCCCCAGTTTTACTTCCAATTTGCATGAAAAAGAAAAAGAATCACAGTCAATGACCTTAAAAATTACATGATTCCGTTAGAAATCCTTGATAGTTTCCATTTTTATTCATACTTCCTCCTTTTTCATTTGTTTGATAAGATAAGGGAACAGATCAGTAATTGGAGAATTAAACAACTAACCTCCAAAAATGCTTTGCGCTACATCAGACTTCATCATAGACTTGTGGCATTCACAGGACAACTATAGTTTGTCTGACTTCTATCTAGCCTAGTTAAGTGTTGATCTTCCTAACAGAATATGAAAGAACCCATCAAGCAAGCCATTCCATCAACAAATTTACAACTGAGTCAACTCCTGCTGGTTTTCCATAGCTTGCCTAAGTATCAGGTTTGCTCTCCTCTTCTTGTCATTTTTCTCTTCATCCCGCCTGAACCCCGATGCTCTCTCTGAGAACTCTTGTTCTTAAGTCTCGGACCCAAAGAACCGCACAAGACTTTCTTACGGTCTTACCAGATCTACACTCTAAACATACAGCATGCTTCTTATCAGGAGGTTTTTCTCCATGTCATATCCAGTTTCAGAAGGATCATCCTTCATTGTCTCGATTGCAGCAGAAAACAACTCCAGCAAAAAAAACATGGATTTTGTCCATTTCATTGTAAAGTTTAGCTCCAATAGGAACTGCAGCCTATATCTTTTTCTCCCTTCCTTTGCTGTCTTTGGTAACTCAATTTTACCAGCTTAAGGATCAGATACCCTCTCATTCTATGCAAATGTGTGTATGCAAGTAAACCGATCAGGAAATGAAGGCAGCCATAAAGGTAATCCTCTTGAGCTAATTTCACAAACTCAACAATATCCGTGATAATACAAGAATCCAAATCCACAATGATTCACCTCTAATGCACCTATGATCACATATGGACTTCACCATTGAAAACCTTCAATTCTAAACATTTTCACATATCTGTACCACCGCAATTCTCAATATTTTACCTTAATTAAAAAAACCTAACTTTTCAGCTCAAACTTTGAGTTACTTATACAACACAGAGTACCACTAACAAAAAACCTAATTTGCAATTGAAACACAAAAAGAATCAAAAACTTATTCAACAAACAAAATACAAACCTGGAAATCCCTCAATTTTACGGTATACACACAGATTCGGGCCGGCGGAGTAAATTGAATTCCAAAAAATGCAACAACTTTGAGAGCAAAAGAGAGAAGATATGTAATTGCTGCAAAGAGGGAAGATTATCGATATAATCCGCTATTAATCTTTAATTGAGGTCACTAATTTTCCTAAAATAACATTGTGGAGATAGCGAGACTGTTTTCTAAAAACCTTTTGACTCAAGTGCATATGTTAATTAAAAAAAATAGTATAAAATCTACGCGGAAAAAATAATAGTAAAAAAAAAGAAGGGATAATCGAAACACAATATATCATATATTACTATAAGCATGAACAAAAAAAGTTGAAAGTTGAATTACGGTTTTACCCCTTCTATTAATTAAATTGTTATAAAATATTTAAATATTTGATTGTATAAGTTTAATTAAAATGTTAAATGACTTTTAGACTTCCTAAGATTAATTCCTAATTAAATATCTAATTTATTAATATTTATCATCTATAATCTATATGTATATAATAATTGTAATTTTTTTTAAAAAAAAGTCTAATTAAAATGTTAATGACTTTTAGACTTCCTAAGATTAGTTCCTAATTAAATATCTAATTTATTAATATTTATCATCTATAATCTATATATATATAATAATTGTAATTTTTTTTAAAAAAAAGTCTAATTAAAATGTTAATGACTTTTAGACTTCCTAAGATTAGTTCCTAATTAAATATCTAATTTATTAATATTTATCATCTATAATCTATATATATATAATAATTGTAATTTTTTTTAAAAAAAAGTCTAATTAAAATGTTAATGACTTTTAGACTTCCTAAGATTAGTTCCTAATTAAATATCTAATTTATTAATATTTATCATCTATAATCTATATATTTTTTTTTTCTCTATTAGACTTCTTAATTTAGTTTTCTATGAATGTTTTATTGTCGTAAGTCTTTATACTTATTTTGTAATTGTTGCATTTTATTGTTCATTACAATTTACATATATATATTTTCATGAAATTTTAGTCATTCTAACGTATCTATAAAAATTCACATGAAACACACGTGCGAAGCATGTGCTCAGAAACTAGTATTACTATAAGCATGAACAAAAAAAGTTGAAAGTTGAATTACGGTTTTACCCCTTCTATTAATTAAATTGTTATAAAATATTTAAATATTTGATTGTATAAGTTTAATTAAAATGTTAAATGACTTTTAGACTTCCTAAGATTAATTCCTAATTAAATATCTAATTTATTAATATTTATCATCTATAATCTATATATATATATATAAAAGAAAAAATTAAAAAAAGTCTATACCTAAATTGCTATACTTTTCCTCTTCTCATAACTTTTTCCTTTAATATAATTTATGTGGATAAAGTATTATCCTTTATGATAACTAACGAAATTTAATAATTTGAAGGGTGCAAATCTGCAAAATGGAGACGCACACATTGATAATGTCCTCTTGATTATTATTAAAGAATGACTCTAGCTTCACAAATTTAAATTCATTGATGCTTAATTACATGATAAGAACTTTTAGTTGTTCTTTCTACATGGTTTGCTAACTTTAATTTTCTTTTTCATATTCTTCATTTATTTACTATTATTTTCTAATTACTTATTCAACTTTTATACTCTTAATATTCATAACTCTCATCTTTTCATATTCATAACCTCTAAATATTTAAACTAGCACTTTAAGATATCTTTTGATATTCCTTCTATTCTATCTATATAAATTCAACTTCTTTATCTCATGAAATCCCTACCAAGATTATTAGGCTATTATTATTTTTATTCTATAGTTAAAGTAGATGAAGAAGACTCTTGAATTTTGATAGGATATGGAAGGAATTGATAAGAACTCGGAGAGTTATGTACTAATTTTGTACTTATTTTTTCATTTATATATGTATCAGTCTTATAAGAATAATGTCTACCTTGTATTTTTTCTTAAATCTGTTTCTTTTTGTCTTTTTTTTCTCTATTAGACTTCTTAATTTAGTTTTCTATGAATGTTTTATTGTCGTAAGTCTTTATACTTATTTTGTAATTGTTGCATTTTATTGTTCATTACAATTTACATATATATATTTTCATGAAATTTTAGTCATTCTAACGTATCTATAAAAATCCACATGAAACACACGTGCGAAGCACGTGCTCAGAAACTAGTATATATATATGACAAAACTAGAGAAGTATTAACAAGCCTAAACCTACGTGGCGCAAGACAACACTCCATCTATACTAATCTTCTATTTCGATATACACCTCTCTTCGTTTCTATCTAGAATCCTCGATAATATGAAGTTGAGTCATATCCAATTTAAACTATTTTAATATTTATAAGTTTTAATCATAAGGAATTTTTTAAAATTAAATCCAAATGAAATAAATTAAGAAGAGTACATTATTCTAGAGTGAGAATACGTGCCCATTTCTCTAGACACAAAGAACTGAAAATGGCTTCTCTTTTCCATCTTCCTTCATCTCTCACATTCCGCAAAATCTGTCACTCTCCCATCAAAGCATCACATTCTCATTCCAGAATTTCAGTCAAGAATGAAAACCCACTTCCAAAATTATCCAAAATTTCAGAATTTTCATCAAAGGCTTTGAATTTCTTGCTTTCTGGTTCTTTAGCTCTTGCTCTTTCACTAACAGGTAACTTATCAATTAAATTTAGTATTTCTATGCATTGTCTTTTGTAGTTTCTACAGTTGTTGCAAATGGGTTCTTGTTAAAACTTACTATTTCGACTTTATTGGCTTGTTTAACATACTAAAGATCGTTAGAACTGAAAATTGACTGCTAGGAATTTGTTTTTCTTTTTTGCTGTCCCTATATAGTATAAAAGCTTAGATGGGTTGGAATTTTTTTTTGTAAAAGCGAGTTCTGAGGAGTTCAGAGTAAGCTGGAGCTCATAGATAAGTTTGATATGCAGTAAAAATTAGCTCATAGTTCAGTGCCTTTGATTTTCAACTCTATTTGTGCATTTTCTCATTAAAGACCTCTCTTTATTTGTGCTTAAAAGCCCAACGGATCTTAGAGCTTTTTTGCGCTTTTCGCTTTTGACAACATGATAAAAATCTGGTTTATAGCACACGAGGGTATGATTTAGTGGTCAACGAATTACGTTGAGAATCATGAGGTTTCACGTTCGATTCTCAACGGAGGCAAAAACACTAGGTGATTTTGTCCTATCCATTCAAATCTTGGTGGTAGCAAGTACATGTGGAATTGGAATTAGTTGAGGTCTGCTCAAGATGGGCCGGACACCATGGTGTAAGGGCTTAAGTTGTCCATAAGTGTGAGCAGCCAATGCAACTTATAAACATGATCAATTTCTCTAACCAAACATAAATTTATAATCCTCAGGTCGACTGGGTTCGGATGAACCCTTACCTCAAGGCTACATCCGCATATATCTCGAACTCTATAACTCTCTAGCCAGATGCATGCTGGTCTAAATTGTTAGATTATGTTCCCAAGTTTCCTCGTCTTAGCAATCCTATAATCTGCGTCTTAACATTCGATAAGTGATTTCTGATTCAACTTGCTTTTCTTCTGTAAGACACAATACCATATTACTTTTCAAATGTATCGAAGGGAAAGCAAATTGCTAGCTTCAACAACCATTATCCGAAAACTCTACTTGAGACTTGAAATTGTCATATTGAGCTCCTCTTTCCAGCCTTAGTTATCCCTTTGAATAAGACATGTGCGATGCCAAATTTTCATGGGGATCTGCCAGAGAAGTATTGGATTAATACATGCTTCCGATAGAATTTCCGAAAGAGTCCTCTAGTTTAGCAACAAAACAGAACATCTTGTAGACCTTCTGAAATGACATTCACTTATGTTAGAAAAGATATATTCACTTGATTTACAATGTTGAAATGGCACAGCATTTGAACTCATTCTGGTATCATCTTACTTCATAGCTATAAAGTAAGTGCTATCTTAACAATTGGAATGTTAATACTTAATAATTACTATTTAATTAAAATATTAGTTAGTTCGTTCTTATTTCATAACACTGAATCAGTAGGGAATGTACTTCAGAACACTGCAGGATATATTTTCTTGGATATGTTCTAATTCTTAGGAAATGTGTGCTTTGATAATTCTGGACTTGTTTTTTTCTTGGATTAGAATGCTGAGTGAAAAATAAACGTACCGTTGTAGGAGTTGGTATTGCTGAGGGAAAGGTTGGGGTGAACAAGCCGGAACTGCTTCCTAAGGAGTTTACTTCAGTTATTGATGTTGCTGGCTTTCTCTCGGATGGTCAGGTGTGATTTATGGTCACTTGATAGGAGAGGCATTTTATTGTTCTTACGCTCATCATATTTCCTTGAGTTGCTTTCTCTCTAATTTGTTTTCTCTGCTAAAAGACTTTTGATACGCGGTTTATAAATATTGCCCTTTTATCTTTTCCTATGCACACTGAGATAGCTGTTATTTCATATGAAAGGAACAAAGATGCTCATGATTATTATTATTTGTTCACAGGAGAAAAGACTTGCACAAGAGATCACAGATATAGAAAAGGATACTGGTTTTAAGCTGAGAGTTTTAGCTCAGAATTACCCTGATACGCCTGGTACATATACTATTATTGGTGTCTAATTATCTCTCGTCTATCGCTACTTAACTAAAATTCTTTAAAAGTATAATGGTGATGTTTCAATGCTATATTCACAGGATTAGCTATTAAAGATTATTGGCAAGTGGACGACAAGACTATAGTTTTTGTTGCTGATCCTACATTTGGTAAATAGTATGCCAGAAATCCTTCTTTTTTTCCCAGATTAAATATGTGCTGATGAATTATCTTCTGTTGCTTATTGTGTTTGTTCAGGAAACATACTGAATTTCAACGTTGGAGCTACTGTGGATCTCGATATTCCACGTAGCTTCTGGAGCCGTTTGGCAGGGACATACGGAAACATGTTTTATTGGAAAGAAAAGGTAAAACTCTTAATTTCTTCCCTTTCCCTCGAGTTGTATTTCAGAGATTTTGAAGTTTGAGTCTTATATGAATCTGATGTGTGAAACAGGGTGAAGACGCGTCTATTGAGGCTGCTGTTATGGCTATATCAAGCTGCTTGAGAGAACCAGTTGGTCCGAATAATTGCTCAGAGGTGAAGTAATATCCGCGTGACACTGTAGAGCTTGTTCCATTTTTCAATTGATCTCTGTACAACATATTTGTCGATAAAATGTACATCGAAAGATGAATGATCAATGTAGTGTTATACAATGTATTTTCTTACTGTCATTGTAAAGAAAAGGAAAAGGATGAAAGAAGCTATAGACCATTTATTTTCTGGAATTCGAACTTGTGATATTGGCTCCATTGATGGAGAAATTGCATATTTTAGAGAAAATTTCACACTGTTATGGTCTCTCTTTAAAGGCTTTTTAGCTATGAAAACTACTTGGGGATAGTGTTTCTTGAGGTTCATTTTAGTTTTCGTGATTGCTAAAAATAACTGGTCTAAATAGTCGTCATTTAAAAAAAATCGAACAACATACATACCTGTGTAATTCTACGAGTGGGATCTGGGAAGGTGGTGTTTTCGGACGAGTCTTGGTTCAAGTAAAACATGTAAAGAATCAAGTATGGAAAGTAGACACAGTAGTGAAGAAGTCAGGTTGAAAACAATAAAGAAGAGAATTATAGCAACAAGAAATATTACGATAGCCGAAGCAAATGAAACATCAGGTAATACTAATATCAAAGAATAAGATAATAGGAGAGTAATAATAACAATACTAATATCGGAAATAGACTACACTCGACTACCTACTAAGTGCCCTAATTCTTGACTTATATATCTTCTTATAATCTAGGGTCATTTTCTCGGTAAGCCACACATTTGCCATGTTCTGTATAGTTACCTCTCCACGATTATTCTTTGCGTTACCTTTTACTTTTCTTCATTTCTGCATAGCCAATCATCTCTCACACCTTATGTAATGACCCTAAAGGTCATTTTTGGAAATTTT